CACGTACATAAGAATAGCGCTCACCCACACCCACCCCCTTGGCGTGTCTTCACCTCTCAACCCCCGCACACCCGCATCCGCCCACACGACAGTTGAACTCCTCGCCCACTCCCTCGCTCCTTGGCATGTCGCCACCCAGCGCAGCACAGAGAGGTGTGTTCCACCCCTACCTCACACACAAACCCAGTGTTCGACTCACCGCAACCGCCCACACAGCAATAAAACACCTCACCCACTCCCTCGCCCCTTGGCATGTCGCCACCCAGCGCAGCACAGAGAGGTGTGTTCCACCCCTACCCCACACACAAACCCAGTGTTCGACTCACCGCAACCGCCCACACAGCAATAAAACACCTCACCCACTCCCTCGCCCCTTGGCATGTCGCCACCCAGCGCAGCACAGAGAGGTGTGTTTCATCCCCCTCCCACCTACCCCGCACACACCGTGTTGGACCCCCGCAGCCGCCCACACAGCAATAAAACACCTCACCCACTCGGTCGAGAAGAACAGCTTCATGTCGAGCGGATCACCCTTCAGCTGTCCGTCAATGAGCGAAAGGGAGTGGCAGGAGGCGATCGCCCACAGTGTCGGACACTGTGGCAGCTGCTGAACGTCCGGCTCGACGTCCTGAAAGACGTTGTTCTCTGTAGGAACAACGCCGTGCATGTCGATCCCGTCCTCCGTCAACGTTCCCGTCTGTGAACAACATGAACACCCGATTCAATGATTATGTTTATATTATAGGATAGGAAGGTATATGTGTGTGTGTATATATATATATATATTTAATATATATTAAGAAATTATGTTAATGAATATCACGTGAATCTAGGTTAATTATATGCGCATGATGAATACGAAGATTTCGTAAAGATCTAGGTAAGTAGTTGAATAAATTTAGGTTAAAGTAAGGTTATGTCGAACCGAAGAAATATTGAATATAAAGAAGATATGAAACAACGGGTATACAGGAAGTAGGGTGCGCTGAAAAATATATGGTATAAAGAGGACATGAAACGACAGGTATTTAGGGAGTAGGGTGCGCAGAGAAATATATGGTATAAAGAGGACAGGTATATAAGGAGTAGGGTGCGCTGAGGAATATATGGTATAAAGAGGACAGGTATATAGGGAGTAGGGTGCGCTAGGAATAAAGAGTATAAAGAGGACAGGTATATAAGGAGTAGGGTGCGCTAGGAATATAGAGTATAAAGAGGACAGGTATTTAGGGAGTAGGGTGCGCAAGGAATATATGGTATAAAGAGGACAGGTATATAGGGAGTAGGGTGCGCTAGGAATATATGGTATAAAGAAGACAGGTATATAGGGAGTAGGGTGCGCTAGGAATATAGAGTATAAAGAGGACAGGTATATAGGGAGTAGGGTGCGAGCCATACCTTATCGAAGCAGACGACGTTGATGCTGCCGCACAGGTTGATCGTGCGCGGACTGATGCAGTAGATGTTAGCGAGCTTGAGCCGTCGCTGTGCGTAGATGATACCTATCGTCATGGCGGCAGGCAGCACGGGAGGCACGGTGATTGTGATGAGATCAAGCGCGCGGATTGCGATCACACCCGGAGACTGGTTGTTCTGCGTCTGAGGAGAAGAGACGAGAGAAGTGTGGGGGACGTGTAGGGGACACGGATACGCGCGCGCACACGAACACGCACACACACGCGCGCACACACACATACACATACACACACACACGCACACACACGCACGCACGCACGCACACACACACACACAAA